GGGGGTGTTGGTGTTGAGAGAGAAACCTTCTCGCTCCGCTTTTACCCCACGTGACCCATCTAGATTTATTTTATTTTATTTTTACACGTTACCAACGTGTCAAGCACTCCCTGGTCTCTGCTGCCTTTTTTGGAGTCATTCTGAAACCCAGCAGTGAAGCTATTTTTTGGGTTGCTGTGCCACTGCCCTCTTCAAGTTCTCGGCTGCTCTTCCTCTGCTGTTGTCTGTGTCCTGGCTGACCTTTGCGCGCCGCTTGGAAGCCGCTTTCTTAGTCCTTGAAACTATTATTCACCTTCCTTTTCTTTTTCCAGCGGCGCCGTTGGAGAGGTTCCGCTCGTTTCTCTGGGAGACACTACCAAGTGGGTGAACTGGGGTGACTTAAAATAGTTTGAAGGATTAAAACAGTGAGCTGATGGGAGGAATGCAGGAGGATCAGCCAGCGTGCTGGGCTTCTGGTCCGTCCTCCTCCCTACCTGCAGTCACAAAAGAGCTCTGGCAATAACGTGGCGTCAATAACATCCAAAAAAAGTGACTTGTAAGAGAACACAAGGTGTCTTTTTAGAGTGTTGGGGGAAAAGGGAGGCACTGCTTTGGGAACAGGCAGCTTAACTCAGCCCCTCAGGATGCTGCATACTGCATGGGAACCATGTTGTGGCTAACCTCTGTAAGGGTTAATACTCCTAGGAGTAAGAGAAAGGTTTCTTTATAGCAGCTGAAGGGGCTGTGCAGGCTGAGTTTCACAGAGATCTGGCCCCGGTCTCCTGAGACAGCGGCTATCGCAGAGATGACGTCGCGTTTCAGTGGGAATCTCAGAAATGCTCGTTGCCATTCAAGCTGTTGGTCCCGAGCGCATCGCATAGCTGGGGGATGCTGTGATCAGCCTCGTGCCTTTTTGAACTCTGCAATTAACAGGATGAGCAAGAAGGATTTCTTTCTTTGCTTGTGAAACAACCTTTTTATTTTGTTTGGCTTTTCATCATCCAAGTGCTCGGGATTCCTAGAATTTTCTTTTTCCTGGCCGCTCCAGAGCTGCTCTACTAGCTTACTTTGTGCAAGGCAGCTGGAACGGGGAACGATCCTGCTAATTTGTTCGCTTTCCTCTTCTTGCCCTTTCTCCGGGGTGGTTTATCTGCAGGTCAAGCTCTACCCTGGGAGCTGCGTCCCATCCCAGCACCGTGGGGTGCACACAGCCGACCCGGCTGGGCTCCATGCGGAGCTGGGGGCGATCACTTCTCCAGCCCGACGTGTCACTTGGGAGCCAGCTGGAGGCACATCATCAGCAGTCTATTTATGTTAGGAAATTAGCTTTTGTGGCCTTCGTGATTGATTTCTTTATTTTTTTTTTTCCTTTTTTCCTCTTTGTGCTCGAGGAGCGTTTGTATCTGGCGCTGTGAATGGCCCGCAGTGTCTCGAACCCTTCTTAGCATTCTTGCGCTGGGGATGTGGCCCACGCCTTTCGGCCGAACAATACCTCCTCAGACTCCCCTTTTGTCACTGCTGCAAACACAAGAGCAAAGCCCGACGGGTCTTCCTGCCTCTGCCTAACCCTCTCACTCTCCTTCGAAAGAGCTGGGGAGATGTCTGGGAGATGTTCCCAGACCCCTCCCTCAGCCGAGGTCGCTGGCCGAGCCCCTCGCAGGCAGCTTTTACTTGTGTGACAGTGCCCCTGAGGAGGAGGAGGAGATGTGTCCAGAGGAAGGTCAGGCCTTGCTGTGGGTTCACAGCGCACGGTTTGGGTTTCTTCTCGAAGGTGACTTGTTTTCAGCTCAGGAAGTCAGAGGGTGATGACTTTTTACAGCCCATCAAAGCCACGAGTGTGGGAAGAACTTTCCTGCCTCGCATTTGACTAATAAAATTGTATTTCAGAAGGCAAACGTTTCCAAAAGCCACCCTGAAGGCAAGCGCAGAGATTTTGGCAACGCGATCCAAGCCAAGCTGGCGGCTCGCACCGATTCCCGCCGCT